TACACTGTTCCATGAACCCATGGGCTGACAGGAGCTTTTTCCTATATTTTACATGATTCACCCTGTATGGCTACACCCACGGCCTTGACAATTAGAAATCCAATATCATAATGAAGATTATAGTTTTAGGTTACAAGAGATATACTTCTCTAAGCATCAATAAAAGACATCACCGATCTTCCCATCTAAACTTGCTCTCTTGACTGATCAACACCATCGATCAATAACTTCGAGAGCAACACGTTTGCTCTCTAACATTTAAAGTTTAATCAACCCAAAACCCATGGGAGTATCGCCTCACTTGGGGGCCATGCCTCTCCATTTTTTTTGAGACCTATCTCCATATTGGAGATCACTTCCCATGACCCCGAAAGGGGTGACCCTCAAAACTATGAGTAATCTGTCTTCTTTTAGCGGCTGTTTGGTTACTGTAAATCTATTACGTTATAATAGATTACGAGGAAATATGACATTTCCACTAGTTTGGGTACACTTAATCGTAAGAAAAATGAAAAGAGATTAAGCGATATTTCTCCAAAAATCAGGAAATCCATTAGGCGCGATGATAGGTGAAAAATCAATTACGGGATTGACAGGTAATTTTGAGAAATCTTTCACGTGCATTTTTACCTATTTTATCCTGATTAAAAAAATCTTATCTTGTAAATCCTCTCTCTTCGTAATAACTAACATAGGTGATCCCTCCGTTTTAAGCTCGTCCCCCCATCTGAACGCATCAATCATATAAAAATAAAAATAATAAAAATAAAAATTAATAATCAATCATAAATTATACAATACAATCATAGTAAAAAATCTCGTCCCCTCATCTGAAGGCATCAGCTGTCATATACAAACAAAAATAATAAAAATAAAATTTAATAATTAATGATAAATTACACAACACAATCATAATAAAATATTTCACACAACATAATCCTCATAAAAGATTACTAAAATCTCAATTGAAATAGCATACATCTTTAGTCTCCTCCAATACCTCAAAATTTTATACTCCAATTACCAAACCTTCTAGTTTACTAATCAAACTTCTTCCTATTTTTTAACTTGTATCGTAGAGATTTTGAATTTAGTATCATAAATTTATTGTTTATTTGAAATTATATAGAGAGAAATTTGAAAGACGACTATAAAAAATAAATAGAAATAAGGCTTATCATAATAAAATCATGTTATTTCAATCATATTGTTCGAATGACTTATCATGCTGAAACCAAGTCATGTTAGAAGGCATGTGATTCCATGTAAGTGCCAAAGGCATGTAAAATAAGTAGGAAATAGTGTCATGATGACTATAAAATGGTACAAGATATTATTAAAAAATAACTTTGAAATGATGATGATGTTATTATTAGAAATCTTTTTGGAATGGTATGATGATGATTTTAATTCCGTATTTTAATGAAATTTTGTGACAAAAAAGAAATAAATGATAATTCTGCATTTCAGTGAAATTTTGTGACAAAAAAGAAAGAAATGATAGTTTATAAGGCACGTGTTGGTAAAATGTTGATAATGCATTTTCTATATTTCTTCTAGACATAGCCAAACAATAACATTGTATTTCCTGCATCTAAATACTACGCAAATAGTAATAACCAATTTACAGGTAATGTATTATGCCAGTAATATATTTTATAGACAATATATTTCCAGTTATCCAAACGGCCCCTTATTCTCTTATATAGATATCACTTTCTTGCTTTTTAATAAAGTCACTTTTCTTTTTAACATAAAACCCTTAATCTTTAGAAAAAAAATATGGGTACAGTGATTTGACTATCACCAAACCCAAAAATCTCCACCTCGATAGAAAAATTACCATAATTGCCTTGGCAACCTTCATTGAATAAATTTCTTAATTTTTTCTGCCTCTATTGTGGAATTTTCACAAACATTTTGCGTCCATATTTCTCTACCTTCAAGCATATACCAATCTAGCTTCGCCATCCATCTTTACTTCATATAAACCTTAGCCCCATACACACCTTTTGCTCTGATACAATTGTAGGGATCTCAAGAACCCCTAGCTTGTCAAGTTGGGAATCTCAAATACATGGATCCCACCCAATATCGTTTACATAATTGACTATATGAGAAGTAGATGAATACGACTACAAACCAAGTGCGAGAAATAAAGCAAACATAAAAAAGCATACTACCAAAACACATGATTTTTTTGGTTCACCCTTTAGGACTACATTCACGGCCTCGACAAGTAGAAATCCCCTATCACAATGAATATTACAGTTTTGGGTTACAAGAGATATACATCTCTAAACTTCGGTAAAAGACCCTCATCGATCTTCTCTTCTAACCTTGATCTCCCGAACAAGCAACACCGTAAACCAATAACCTTGAGAGAAATCGAGAGACTTTCTCTCTCTAGAAGTAAGAGTTTAATTAACCCAAAACCCATGGCCGCCTCTCTCGAAGGCCATCTCTCTCTTTCTTGGAGACTCGTCTCCATCTTGGAGATCACTTCCTATAACCCTAAAAGGGATGACCACTTCAAAAACATGGGTATTATGTCTTCATTAACTCTCTTATATAGATATCATTTTATTACTTCTCAAGAAAGTCTGTTTTTTTTTACCATAATACCCTTAATCTTTAGAAGAAAATATGGGTATAGTGATTTGACTATCACCAAACCCAACAAGTCTCCAAATATTATTTTGACTCGGTGAGAGATATGTACGAGGGAGCGCTAACTAGTGTATGAACAACTAGTGGAGAGACGTGTGAGTTTTCAATAACGATAGGTCCAAATCAGGGGTATGTATTGTGCCCATAATTCTATCTGACATTTGAACGACTTAACTAGGCGCCTCAAAGATGAGATACTATAGTGTATATTGATCGCGGATGAGATAGTTTTAATCAATGTGACCCGAAGTGGCAACAACACAAAATTTTAACTCTAGAGGTATGCTTTAGAATTTAAAGGTTTTAAAATTAGCAAGACTAGGACAAAATGTATGAAATATAAGTTTAGTAGTAATATGAGAAGAGACGAGGAAGTAGTTAATATTAACAACCAAGAAATATAAAAAAGAGTGCACTTTTGATATCTTGGGCCGATATTTTTAGAAAATGGACAGATTGAGGAAGATGTCACACATAGAATTAGAGCTAGATAGATGAGGTGGAGATGTATAGCCGGAGTTTTATGCGATTGTCGGATAATAATGAAGCTAAATAGGAAGTTCTATAGGACAATTGTGAGATCAATTTTGCTTTCTATAAGACAACTGTGAGATCAACTTTACTTTATGGTTAGGAATGTTGGGTGGTCAATAAAAAGCATACCCATAAAATGAGTGTAGCTGAGATGAAGATGTTGAGATAGATAAGTGGCAAGATAAGAAGGGATAAAATTATAAATGATACATTCGAGAGAACTTAGGTATGGCTGCAAAAGGTGATAAGATGAGAGAAAGTAGAATTTGGTAGACTGCTCATGTGCTGTGTAGACCCAGTACAGCACATGTTAAGATGTGCCAGTTGGTTCAAACAAAAGACTCAAAAAAGACAAGAGATAAGCCTAGAATAATATGGTTATAGGAGTAGTGAGAAAAATTATAGGGACTTATGGCTTCAATGAGGGTATGCCCTTGATAGGGTAGAATGACATACATACTAAGCTTTGTGTAACGGACTCCAAATAGTTGGTAAAAGGCTATGATGATGATGATGACAGTGTTAACCTGTAATTTCATCTACAATCGGATAGTGGTGATAGAGGAAAAGACCTTCTAAAACATGACCACAATGTGGTTCTACATAGGGTGGGGCCTAGGCTAGGTGTGGCCCTTAGGCTAGGTGTGGCCCTAGCCTGGCGTTATTTCACTGATAACTGGCCCTAGCCTTATCAAGTCTGGGCCGGGCTGGGCTAAAATTTAAGAAAAATAAGAGAAAAAAGGCAAGAACGTGAGGGATGGACCAAACCGGGCCAGGCATTTCTTGATCTGACCCAGGTCCTAGTTTTACCAGGTTGGGCTCGGCCACCCCGTCCATTGCCCCCTCTGGACTTCCACCCTCCGTTTTGGAGGGTGACGATCTTCGTGATCATGGTGATCCATAGTTCCAAAGATTACCAGAAATCCATTATTTCTTGAAAAGCGGTTGGTTTTTCTCCTGGTTCTGTTTGCCCTCGTGCTCTCAGAAAGCTCAAGACGCATCGGCAACAAGAGAGAAGAAGAAAGAGGGGATGAGAGAGATAGAAAGCGGGGTGAGTGCTGGTCCGTGCGTGCCCCGTGCGTGTCCGCACTCGACGTGGTCCCGACTGTCACGTGAAGGCGGGCGACCCTACTCCGGTAGTCTACTGTAGTGAGAGAAACAAAGACCAATTCAATAAACAATTAGGCCCTATAAATCTTTTATCTCCTCTCCACCAATTATATTTCCCCCTCCACGTGGGCTACTTGCTCCTGTTTGATATTTTCCCCATTCCCCACTTTCTCTCTCTTTCTTCCTCTCTTTCCCTTGTATTTTAAGCACCCTCCTCCTCCCTCCGTCCCAAGCTCTACTCCAAACCCTCTCCCTCTCTCTCCCATCCCTGTATGGCGGCAGACTCTTCTGCCTCCTATATCCGCATGGTATCATACTGTTTTGATCCAACTCTTCTCTGAGGTAGAATTTCTCTCTCATATTTTGAAGCTAATAAAGCTATCCATGTCTTTTCAGGTTCAGCATCTCATTGAGAAATGTTTGCTATTCCACATGACCCTGGAAGAATGCGAAGAGGCCCTCTCTAAACACGCCAATATCAAACCCGTGATCACCTCCACTGGTCCACCGACCTCTATCTTTTTTTTTTCTCCTTTGTAGAGAGAGAGAGGCTCTTTTTTTTTTCTGTTGGTTTTGATGTGTGTTTGATTGTTTTGGTGCAGTGTGGAAGGAGTTAGAGAAAGAGAACAAGAGTTTTTTCGAGGCTTATTCACAGGAGAGAGAGGAGAGGCGTTCAAAGGAAGAGATACGCCAAATGTTCTCTCATTCTACTCTCCAAGATTCTCCTCATGCCTAAGTAACAACCACCACCACCCCTTCTTTCTCTCTCTCTCTCTCCTAAATTATGACCTGAGTTGTGAAAATGACGTCCTTCTCTGTACACTCTCTCCTAAATTATGACCTAAATTGTGAAAATGACGTTCAAAAGGACGGAATAATTGGCTCGTCTCTCTTTCTCTCTCTAAATGAAGAGCGGTCCCGTTTAGAGAGAGAAAGCTCATTGTGGGGTTATATACGCAATGAGGACCTGTAAAAGTATGAGAAAGATACGGAGGCATTTGTCGTTGAGGAGGGTAAAATGGAAATGCCAAAGTGGGTCTGAGGCGATGCTTCGAATACACGACGAACAGGTGGCAGTTCGGGGCTGTTGACACGTGGCAGCCGACCCGCGTGACAAGATGCCGTTTGATTCCTCTTTGTTACGACACGTGTCGTATGTGTACACCTGTCATCTTCATGCTATTTTCGTCTACTTTTTGTGAAATATTATTAAGTTTATGAAATTAATTGTTACGTAATTTATCAGGGGCCCAACAGTTCTTTTTGTTTTTTCTATTTTGTTATTTTATTTAATAGCGTGGTGATTGGTTTCATTCAATATCTCGAGGGACAAATGATGTGTAGGTGCTTGTGGACTCTTGTGTAGGGTGGATGGGCTCTTCCTTTGTATGGATGTATCTTTGCCGTTGTTTTTTTTTTCTTTTTTATTTCATTTAATAAATTAGTGTGGCCAAATTTTTGTAGCCCGTAGGCATCGAGATCACCAATTGATGTTACATGGAGGAAATAATGATGAGAAATGGATTGTTTTGTCCGATGTTTTAAAAATAAGGATGAGTGGATGGATTGTCCACCGCAGGTACCGTGTTAGGTCGCTCGATAGCAGTCTTTTGAAAGGTCCAAATTGGCGATACAAAAAAAAAAAATACACAAAAAAAAAGAAACACAAAAAATAGAATAACAATTAAAATGAGTATCTATTTGGGTGGGATAGAGGGGTTTAAGAACGCATTAGATAAGGCTTATTATTATTATTATTATTCTTTGTTTTTAAGGAATTATAAAGATAGGGGTTTGAGTGTTGTGGTGGTGCCGATGGCCTAGGGTGACTTCTCTTGTAGAGGGTAGGTCATCTTAGCATCTCTCCTTTTAAGTTAAATCGTCATCATCA